AATTGCAGAAAGGCATAGGGCTGGGCATTTGGACAGGACAATATGGGGTGGGGAAAGATGACTCAGGGGCTTTATAAACTACTCAAGCCATCTTACCTTTAATGGGCTTTAACCTTAGGCTTGTCTGATCCTGAAAGGATACATCTGTTACTTTTCCTTTCTCTGTGGCTTGATCTTTACTAATCATTCAATTTTTGTTCAAACCAGGGACCACAATTTTCTTGACAGCAACCTCTGTCACCCCTATTACAGGCAGTCCAGCTGAATTAGCAAGAGATACACTTTCCCAAAAAGGAAAGAGGGCAGTGTCTCCTGAGGAATGACACACGAGGCGGAACCTGGCCTCCATGTACACTTGCAGATATATATTCACATACCTGTGCATATCCATATGCATGACACATGCATAAGCGCTCAAGTGCATACTCATCATACTCATGTATGCACGCACAAACACACATGCACGCAAACCCTCACACACATACACACAAAATGTGCATTCATATAACCTAATGTTGGCCTCTCACTCTCTTCAGACTATTTGTCTGGTGCAGTTCATATTTGAAAGAACAAATTAATGGATTAAACAGGTATCTAGAATGCCAATTGAAGCTAACTTAACATTCTCCCAAGGCTCATCATCTTTTCATCATGCCTATGCTATTTTTAACATCCTTTGTCTTTTCTGTGCTTTAAACTACAAAGTACTAAATTTTTAAAGCAGAAATTCCTATGGTCTAAAAGTTAATTCATAGAAAGAAAAACCAAGTTTTCTTAATGCTCAGAGAAGGGTTAAGTTTTCCCAAAATGCTTTATGGGGAGATAAAGGGTCCCCACATAATTTGGCTAGAGGGTCAGGAAACACACATCTTTGTATTGCTTGGTAGTTACGGTATGACGCAGTCTCCCAATTAAAGAAGGAAGAACGTACTACAGAGAGCTGCTGTGTCCTCTCATTATACCCCCAGATCAAAGCAGGAGTAAAAAGCATCTCCTGTGCTTCACTCAAACCTAACACTTCTAACATCCACTCACACCATAAGTACTCAACAGCTCTGTACCGAAGAAACAATACCTAGGTAAGCACTGTAATGTGCTATCATACAAGCCAAACTGTAACCATCTCCAGGAAATCAGCTACGCCTGTTTGGCCACCATGACGGGACCTGTAGACTATTGGTACTCTTTCATAAGAGAAGGAGTAGGGAGGCTAATTGGGACCTCCCTTAAGACTTCAGCCAATTCACACTTATTTGCATGCTATTCTGCCCATTTCAAACCATACACGTGATCTCTAGGATTGTAAATATACTGGAGCATAAAGGCTGGCAAAGGCTAAGGAAGTACCACCTACGTGGCCATGGAGAAACTATCATCTATGCTAGATAATGACTTTGCAACACTGCAGCTTTGGGGTCACCGAAAGTACCACTGGCAGCCCCTCAACCTTGCTCTGTAAGCCTATCAGTTACTAGTTCCCTTCAGTGAGCTTTGGTGGAATTTGACTTTGGAGACTGAGGTAGATATTGTTCATGCCTTTCCAAGGGAGAAAGTTTTCAAACCAGCAGGTCGCAGAGACATAAACTGTTTTGTGTCATAGCAATTTGTGCCTTTGACCAGATTTTTTTTTTTTCACTCTTTAGGGAATTGGGAACACTGTTGTTCAAACCTGCAACCATTTGCCAATGAAGTTACTGATCATCGCTCTTCTAAGACAGTATGTATTTATCCTTAAAAAACAATAATACAACAAATAAGCTAAGTGCCAATTAAAATATTTTCTTTCAGCAGAATAAAAACATATCATAGGAACTGTGGTTTTATAATCAGACAAGGAAGGAAAAAGCAATTTGGTTTTCGAACTACACCTTTTTTCCCTTCTCTCTTAAAAGTATATAATTGCACTCTCAGAGTGAAAAGATTAGTTGCCTTCAACAGACTCTCAAGGGAAAAAATCCTATTATTTTCTCTCTACTAAAGAGTAATGTCTTCCATAATTACAGGAAAGCCATGTATTAAGTTGCCTGCTTAGGAAGTGCCATCCTAATAGAATGCAAAGTTATTTCACTCTCCACATGTCAAGAAGGAAGACCAGGCCCTCTCTTCCTCATGCCCACTGTCATCTATACGTCTTCAGACTTTAATGCCCTCAGTCAGAGACACTAAAGGACAATCCATTAATTTGAAAATTCTTCTCAATACTCACTCTCAACTCAAAGCCCCTTCCAGCTAAGACAGATTCAGTGACTCTACTCATTTGGTTCTATTCTTCTACCATGTGAGTCCCAAGGACCAAACACAGATCACTGGGGTTGCCAGCAAGGCATTTTACATGGTGTACCATCTCAATGACCTCCATCTATTCCCAGAATCGTAAACATGTTCTGCCTCACCTTTTGCCAATCAGTGTTCACGCAAGAGAGGGTACCTTGCCCTACAAATGTTTCTCCTCTCCTTTAGATGTCCTCATAGAGCCATTTTTCAAATATGGACAGACTAAAACAAGTTGCCTTCTTTAGGCCCACTATGGTCTTTCCCCACAGATCTCTATGACACCCGATTTGACCATGTTACTTGTGACATAATCATGAGACTCAGAAGGAATTTCTTGAGGAACCTACTTCAGAAACTTCATTTTCCAGTAGTGCAGCAGCAACGAGTGATTCTAAAACTTTTACTTCAGTTATCAACTCTACTTCTTCTCTTAATATAAATGAAATTGTTAATTAACTAGTATATTAAGGCATGAATAATGGACACAGTTCCCTGTGTCATTGGTACTAAAGGTGAAAGGTAGGATTCATTTTTTTATTATTTGCAAAGTAAGTACTCTTTAAATGTAAAACAAAGAAAGCTTTCACTCCAAATATCATTAATACCAAAAATATCACTTGGCCATTAAAACCAAAAGCTAGTCAGGTACCAGAACATGACCCTGGTCATCTCTTATGATCACATCTGTTTTCATAGAGCAATCCTGCAACTCCTGACTTCACAAAAATCACAAGGAGGACTTTAAGGCAAAGAAAAGAAAAGTGAGATCAAGTCATAAAGGAAGACATGTTACTTGGCCTCGGTATGAAAGTAAAGTGGTCTCTTGCCTGACAGGGTCAGAAGAAGTCCTACATCATGTTGAGAAGGCAAGAGGGTCTAGGACGAAGGTGACAATATTGCAGCCTCTCTCCACTGGTGACTATATTTACACATAAGTGAGGAACACAAATTCCAGAGTGACATCATCTTTTATGAACCCTAGTCTTCTCTAGTCTTTTATGGATCCCTCTCTCCAGCTCCTCACCCCAGCACACATAAAAGACCTTTATTTAACTTTGGTTACTTTCAAGCTTTCCAACTCCATACTCCTGCTGTGAACTTAGATTATCCTGCTTCATCCTTCACAGACAGCTTCCAAAATCAAATGTGTTGTTTGGCCACGTTGTTTCTAGAATTATTAGTAGGTCATCCTCCCTCCATCCTATGATCTAGAGGTTTGTTTGGTTTTTTTTTCTCTCTCTATGCCCAATCCTTATGCCAAACAAAGGAAACAGAAGATACAGGGGAAACAGAGAAAACTAAGGGGCTAGAGAAATCTTGTCTAAATCCTCCATACCAAGGTGTTCTCTGACAGACCACTTCAGCTTTCCATATCTCTTCAGGCCCAGTTTCCCTATCTCTAAAGTACACAAAGGAGTTACCCACTCGGCAGGGTTAATGATATGACTTGCTAGCTATGCCATACACTGAAGGCCTAGAGCCCAGTTACCACAGACTGTATGATTATAGACAAATGTTACCAACACTACTGACAAGTGAATATGGTGACACTTTGGGCCATGTTTGAGGGACATTATGATACAGACCTTCTGTGTACTCGACGACACCCACCATTCTACATGTCTCTATACAGGAATGTCCTCCATTCCCTTTACGACATCAAACAGCCCATTCCATCCTCTTACGGCTTTTTATCTTTGCAAACCTATAACTAAAAGTCATCACTCAGAATACACTTCTGGAGTTTCACACAAGTGACTTCCAAACCAGCCTGACCACGAGATTCCAATAGCTCACGGACAGAGGTTGGGGGATGTGTGTTTAGTGCAGTGTGTGATACAGTCGTGATGATCTGTGAGCTTTTAAAACCACTGTTTTCTGTGATCCCAGACCTTATGCTCTGTAGAGAAATATCTGCAAACTAGAAATTACCGGTGCGGCACGGCACCTATTCTGTCATCCATGACAGCTCTTTTCTCTGCTCCTTTTAAGTGACAGCGAAGCTTACCCAATAGTCCTCCCCCCCCCAAAAAAAAAGCCCACAAAGGACACTGGTAATTCTACAAGCACTAAAGCAACTCTGTGAGAAGAAACTGTTCCGAAGAGCTGTTTTGCATTGTCAATCCACCTCACATAGGGATTTACATACGCTGACAGATTTCCCAAATGCAAAGCACTGTATTTGCATGTGGATCATTGTAACCTAATTATTAACAGGCCAGAGACCACTCCCACAGCAAAATGTCTGTTCAAACAACAACTGTAAAGACTATCCTGAGTCTCAGGGTTGTGCAAAACAATGGTGGCAAGCAAGTGGGCACTTGCTTCCACTGCCCTCCCACATGCCACAGTATGAGTTTTACAAAAGGCCCTGCTCATACACAGACCACCATTTTTAGCATACCAGAACCTGACATGTACAATGGGTATGACCAATTTCTCCAAGCCATCTGTCCTCACCACAAAGATCTCTACAGAAAACAGTCCATCTACCCCATGTACCAGCATTACTACCAGGAGCTCTGACGCATAGCAAACATTGAAATGAAAGAAAGAGTATTAGTCAAATACTGATAACACACCTGGAGTGTGATCCTATTACTTAGAATCAAACATACAATTTTGTAAACAATCACCATATTAAGGAAATACCACCTACTGCAAAGAACTACAGAGGCACAGGAAGTGAGAGGAGGTCTGGAAAAGAAGGAACCAGGCCTGCTCACCTGTCTGAGTCCCTTAGGCATCTTCTTTCTCTTCCCCAGGTGCTGGCAGAGGTTGCGGTCATTTTCCCGATCTGAGCTATAGTGGTGTGAGTGGCTGAGCCGGCTCTTCTTTGAGTGAAAAGACAAGCCATTGGTAAGGGCTTCTCGTTTCTTCTTGGACAGGGGAGTCTGTCGTTTCTCCACGCGTTCCTGAGGCTTAACTGCTACATCTTTCTGCATAAAAGAAGAAAAGAAAAGGAAAGTGGTGGTTACATGAGTATCTAAGGTCCCAGCCAAAATACAGACTAAGTAAGGTTGTCAGCCACGAAGGCTAGATACAGAACAGTGGTCAAGTTTGTAGAACCCCAAATGATAATACAGATATGCTGTTTCCATTCCTTTGTGTTTGTGTGTATTCTTGTTGGGTGGTGAGGGTATGGAAGTACATCTGGGCATGTATACACAAAAGCCAGAGGTGCCTTCCTCAAATAGAGTCCCTCATTGACCCGGGCGTTGTTTATTCAGCAAGGCTGGCTGGCCAGGAAGCCTTAGGAATCCTCCCTCCTCTCTTTGCCATCTGAGTGCTGGGATTATTGGTGTGAGCCCTGACACATCCACTTGGACCTGACTGGATCCGTGAAGGAATAAAGAAAAGACAGCAAATGGACATACAGACAGAAAAGGTAGAAGCTGGGGTCAAGTATATTGGGCTCTGGACCAGAGACACTTCAGCAACCCACAAGCTCAGTGTGTTTATTATATAAAGTTGCAGAGAAGCAGCATTACTACATCTAGGTGAACAAGGAGCTGGGGTTTTACATTCAGATAAGCAACGAGATGGAGTTTATGGTATACAACTAGAAGGGGAAGGCAAGTTTAGGTAACTGATCTCAGTACAAGCAGCCTTTAGGATGTAAATTATCTACAGCAGGGAAACTAGGGTGGACATCTTTTGCACACACTGTCAACACCTGCACTTGGTCCCCTGAGGGATCCTCTACACCTGACACTATGGGATCCTTGACATGGGTTGTACTTGTGTCAACAGTACACATTCACCCAGGACTTCATTCATTCAGGCTTTTCTCTGACTTCCCAGAGGCAAGTCTGATGCACTATGTTTCCAAATTGGTACATCAATTACTGCACATTTCTAAAATGAGCACTAAGTATGTGCTCAATTCAAAGGAAATTGCACAATAGCAAGCACAGCAGGGCCTAGTGGATGGAGCCAGAAAGAAGGGCACAGGAAGCATGAGGACCCAAGCCTGAGCTTGGGTGACGCAGCACCCACTTAAAGCCAAGAGGTGTGGAGCCCTGTCTGTAACCTGAGCCTTTACTCTGTTTAGCCTTCACTCCATACTAGAACCGGTCTGTATAGTACTAAGGATGCAATGCACTGGTGTATGACAGCAGCAGGGATGAGGGTGTGTCCCACATCCTCATTTAGTGTCAGGAGTAAAGGAACACATTCTAATCAAGTAACGCCAAGATGGATTAAAAATGAAAATTAAAAATATGTTAAACGTGGATCAAATGCTCTAGACCAGACTGGAAGGCTGGAGCAGAGGGTTGCCTTGTGTATGACCTAGATGTAAATCAGAGCACACCTAGTGCTAGGTTCTTAAGGCATGTTGGACTATAATCCCTTGAAAGAAGAAAGAACACAACACTGAACAGCTGGCTCCAGTAACCCCATTGCTTCAAAACAAGCCAGGAAAATGGTCAGTAGTCAATATTTGCTTTCTAAATACATAAATCCAAGTAGTTAAAACATCCATATCTATCTCACACAATACTAGGTTACTGATGTAGCTCAGCTGGAAGAGTACTTGCTTACCACATATGAGGACCTGGTTCTATCCTTTGTACCACACACAACTAGGAATGATAGTACATGTCTATAATCCTAGCACTTGGGAGATGGAGGAAGGAGGATCAGAAGTTCAAGGTTATCCTCGGCAACACAGTAAGTTTTAGCCTGGGCTCCAAGAGATCCTGTCTTAAATAAACAAATAATTAATTTGCCTCACAAATTCAGTCTCTTCAGAGTCATACTGAAGGTGCCTCCAGAAGTATATTGAAAATTATGTCCAATTCCATACAAATGTGAATTAATATTCACGAGAGCATGTTATGATTTTTTTTTCCAATCCATTTTATTTTCCTGTAACATATTAATCAAGGCATTCTCATTGCTGTGCAGAATAGCTACATGGAGCAAACAGACCCCATGCCAGGACATTAGCTTGCCAGAGACCTGATAAAATCTTAGAAACAGCAGTACAATCATCTTTGCTCCAATTAATAATGAGATTCTCCACTCTGAGAAGGTGGAGGCAAAGAGGGGAAAATATCTGTCTCTGTGTAGAAGCTTAAATGGTAACCGACATTATTTTTCAAAGTTTTTCATAAAAGTCTTCTGCTTTCAGACACTAGAGATATGTTACTATATATTATGTATATATAGTATGCCCATACTGTGCCATAAATTCACATAGCATATTATATATACATAATATATAAATACATAATAGCAGGCTTGTGCTGTATATAAATACCTAACTGGCTTGTGACACTATATATATATATATATCCAGGCAAATAATTATTCATTGACTCTATAAACATTTAGTAACAGTTTCCTAAATGTACAATAAAATAATTGCTTTAAGATTTCATTGACTACCTTAGAAAATAGGAAAACTGCCCCATATAAATAAGGAAACAAAACACAGGAGGATGGGAAGATGGACCACTGGAGAAGAGCATTTGCTGTCCAAGCATGAAGGCCTGCATTCAAATCCTTAGCACTTATCTAGAAAGCTGGGGTGTGAGAGCATACCTCTAAAGCTAGAGCTGTGGGTAGGACAGATGAAGGAGAATCCCCACACTACTTCTAAACAGTCAGAAACCCTGTTTTATACGAGTAAGGTAGAGAGTGAAAGAACAAGTGTGATGACTATTTTTGGTTACCAACATGATGGCATCTGGAATTTCCTAAGACCCAAGTGGCTGGGTACACCTGCAAGGAATTTTTCTTGATTTAATGACTTAAAGTGGGGACACATATCCTAAACATGGTTTTTTTGAGCAGGGAAGATCCACCATAAATCTGGCTCACACCTTCTGGTAGCAGCGTATATAAAGGACATGGAAGAAAGAAGCACCCGCTCTTTGCCTACTTGCTCTCATTCTGACTGTCAAGTCCATTCTATTTCTTTAGGATTTCAACATATTCTGAAGACCAGCTGAGACAACCAGCCGTGTGAACTGGACAACTACTGGATTCTTGGACTTTCATTAGTAGACAGCTATAGTTGGATTAGCTGGACCACAGCCCATAAGCCATGCTAATAAATCTCAGATACACAGACAGACAGACAGACATAGATAGACAGATCATTCTATAAGATCTGTTCCTCTAGAAAACTCTAATAATATAGACACCCATCCAACATCCTCCTCTGGTAATACACAGAAAAGGGCTGATTACAAACCACAAAACGGCTGATTATAAACCAATCAATAAACTATAATAGAAACCTATCAATATACAGAACAATTGCATGACTTCATGCATGGGTGAATATGTATATAGCAACCCACCGTGAAGGCACCAGTAGCAATTAATTTAAGCATTTCCTTAAAGAAACATGGCTACTCTCAATACTCCTGCTACAAGAAGGGAAACCATCTAGATAATAAAAGAACATTTTGGGATCAATGAACAACAATTTTCAAAGACCTGTTAATTTGTTAGTTGACTAGGCAAGCAGTTGCCGAGGGAGACAGTCCATCAGAATAACCTGCAATGCTTTATAAAATGAATACACTTCTCATTCTGCAAGGGAAGCATTTAGCAAATGAATGAAAGGTGGCAGCACATGCCACTTGAAAACATGCCACTTGGCAGAAGGACTATTGTAAACTAAAGGCACTTGAAAATCAGCAGATTCAAGAGGGACACTCTGCCCTCCATTAGCCAATAGAAAAGAAACATCTTCCTCACACACAGAGCGGGAAGGAAGGTCTCATGTGCAAGATGTCTGGCCAGCATAGGAGAAAGCAAATTTAGAGATGGGTGGGGTTATGGCTCAGAAAAAAATGTACACAAATACATCTGGTAAGATAACTCTTACCTTCTTTCATTTCCCCAAAGATTTTAGGTTTGTCTCTAAAACTGCCACCCCTAAACAGCCATTAAGTAATCATTCAGGTTCTGTCACTTTTAAAGTGTTGTTGTCATTATTGTTTTGAAACTGTCTCGAGTCTCCCCACGCTGGCCTGAAACTGTGTCACAGAGGACGACGCTGACTCCTGATCCTGCTTTCTACTTCCTACGTGCTGGCATTACAACCAAGTGCCCCATGCTTGGCTCCTACTTCAAGAGTTTTTATTTTCCTTTAGTGACTCCTACCTATGTGCAAAATACATGTCATTCTCCTGTTAATCTATTTTTAGGGCAATTTAATTCTCAAGTTCAGAACAAGACCCTAAGAGGCCAGAGATGAATCTGCCCCACATACCCAAACCCCTGGGAGGAGGCTGGAAGTGAGAAGTCTGAGAAATCTGCTTAAGGGCATTCATTCACACAGCACAGCGGCAGAAGCCTGGCTGGGAAACAGAAAGATTTAGACACATCTGCTGACAATAGAGGGGGTAAGTGCACAAGCCATGCACAGAGGAATCGTTTCTATGAATGTTTGAAATTATGTGATTTTTAGGTCACTGGAGATGGAGGGCGGGATGACAGGAGCACATCCATTCAGAGGCTCAGACACTGATGAAGCAAAGCAATTTCCTTCTGTACTGGCCCTCTTCAGAACAGGTGATCTTATTCTTGACTTCCCCTTCTCCCAAATTACAATCTTCTCCCCAAAGCTTCCTCTGCTACTCCTGAATTTCAAAATGAGAAGGTTCGGTGTTGTGCAAACTCGGGAGGCTAACAGATTGCACATGAAACACAATGCAGGCTGAGGGGCCCCATTTGCTGATTACAGATGAAGTAGAGATGATGGAAAATAAGGGCACAATTTGCCTGCCTTGCAGAAAATGGGTTTTGGAAAGAGTCTCTGCCTGATGTTTCCAATCATATTAATCTGAGGACAGTCCATCACTGGTAGAGTGGCTGTGGGTTATATCTGAGTGTGTCCAAGTGTGGGCTCATGTGGAGGATGGGGGAGAGTTCAAACAGTATCTGCTCTAAGATATTTGATCTCAAGGATTGTTCC